TGCTGTAACAAATTGTTACAGTGTACTCATTTGTGTTATTATCTTCCAGAACAATACATGAAGTAATATATATATATATATATATATATTATTAAATGTTAGCAAAAAACTTGTTTATTTTGTCAGCAAATTTGTTGAGCGTACTTTTGTGATAACTTATGATTAAACTGTAATACTTTACCTTGCATTAGTTTTAATAAGGTTACGCACTGAGATATATTAGGTAAGCTCGTGACAGTTCTAATATGTCATGTATGTGTCTGTCTTATCAACATCGACCTTTGAGTTATGAAACCAAATACATGTCTACGACGGTTCGAAAATCAGGTTATATTGTTATCGAAGAGTTAACCATACGAAACAATATTAATTATGAAAGATGTAAACATCCAGATATTCACGTTTTGGTATATGAAGTTCCTTTACTTTTTGCAACTTAATAAAACAGTCATTTAAATCAATATACATTCATATTCAACTATTCATATGTTACTTCAAAGTCATTTATTTTTTTTCTGATAAGAGGTACAGTTTCTGAAGATTGTTATATAATAAACTATTCAACAGATTCCATCACGTGTCTAATAAACTATTCAAAAGATTCCATCACGTGTCTAAGATTAACTCCCGTTAGATTGTTTAAAATTCATAACAAAAATCATAACATCAGAGAGTTGTTTACTACAAATTTAATACATATAATAATAATACATATAATTACATACAACAAATGTATACTTTAAGGCATACCGTTTTACGAATCATTTAGGATTTCATAGCAAGTTCCAACGGGTATAATCAGCTTAGTGGTCGGTGCTTTTGTACTGACATGAGTTTTAACAAATGTTCTAAATTTTCCTAATTCTAAATTAAGAAACGTAATGTTAAAAACCTAAGGTTCCAACTCCATCAAACAAATTTGACCTTAGTAGGATTGTTTATAAATAAAGGCAACAGTAGTATACCGCTATTCGAAATTCATAAATCGATTGAGAAAAAAAAAACCAAATCCGGGTTACAAACTAAAACTGAGGGAAACACATCAAATACAAGAGGAGAACAACAACACAACAGAAACACAACACTAAAATGCAACACACACAGAAACGAACTATAATATAACAATGGCCATTTTCCTGACTTGGTACAGGAAATTTTTAAGAAAAAATTGGTGGGTTGAACCTGGTTTTGTGGCTAGCCAAACCTCCCGCTTTTATGGCAATGTTAAATATAACATTAAAATGACAAGACTACATGACAGGACTACAATACAAATAAATGGGAGAACATACAGGACAGAGACACACACAAATAATAGCTATCAAAATGTACCAGGCTTATAATTTAATACGCCAGACGCGCGTTTCGTCTACATAAGACCCATCAGTGACGCTCAGATAAAAAAAAGTTCGAAAGCCAAAACAAGTACAAAGTTGAAGAGCATTTATCAATAGTCTTTGGTGTCCCTTTTGGCCACAAAACTTTTAATACCCCCATTTACGGGACGTATTGTGGTATACCGTTGTCCGTCCGTTCGTCGGCAACATGTTGGATAATAACTCAAAAACTCGTTTACCAATTTTAATGAAACTTTGGTGGATTATTCAAACCTATTGATGTAAGCTCCCCTTCGATTTTTATTAATTTTAGATTTTGCCTTTCCGAGTTATGGGATATTTTCCAGTTTTCTGACAATAACTAAAAATGCTTTGAACAATTTTCATGAAACTTTAGTAAATTGTTTATTTATATTAACATAAGTTCCCTTTTGAATTTTTTAAAGATTTATGCATTACATTTTGGAGTATTAGGACTTTATTCGTAAAATGGGGGGATTTTCCAGTTTCCGGACAGTACATCAAAAAATGCTTTGAGCAGTTTTCATGATACTTTGGTAAATGGTTTATATTCTATAAAAAAAAAATCCCTTTCCCCTTTTTTTTTTATAAATTTCTGATATGACATTGAGGTGTTATGGAACTTTATTCGTCGAAAAAGCGACGGTCGTATCATTTGCTCATGACGCAGCTATTTATTATATTCCCCTTGCTTTCAAAGTTTTACACTGACAGTAAGTTTGGCAGACTTTTATTATGTGTGGAACAACTGCAAAATTAGCAAGTGGAATTTCTAAAAGCATTTTATTAAAATTTTTCGTCCTCTATTTTCAGTTAAAAATGAAGTTATGAAAAAAGAAGTAGTGGTATGATTGCAAACTAGACACATATCCATAGATAAAACGACAAAGATGTGAACAATTAAGTTAGTTAACTTGCAAAAATGTATCGATTAATAAGCGAAGCTCTAAATACATAACAATCAAATTAGAATTATCGCCATATTTTTGTCAAGCAATATAATTTTTTATGATGAAAATAACACTTTATAAATCTCTTGCGTCCAAACCACTTATCTTGATTTTCCTTCATTAGGAACACTCAAACTTACATGTGTAAAAAGTTGAAAGCCAGGGATGTATAAAAACGTGGAAACATTAGGAGCTTTGAGATCAAAAGGGATTCCAATGACTATTGATAAATTATAGCCAAACCCATCTAAGGGACAGTTGGAACAATAGTTCCTACAATTTCTTAATTTATCGTCGGAAACACTTGCGGTTTTGTTTGTTAAAATCATATTTTTAAACAGAATTCGGAAATTAGTACGCATTGTTTGATTGTCAGTTAAAAATATTAGAGACAAAAAATAACTCAATATCAAGACGAGGAATAATAATACGAACATTTTCCTGAATTTTTAAAATACCTAGAACTCTATTGGAATTGAACTTCAGTTCCTTTCTGTGGTGCTCGAAGTTATATATTTTACAATCTGAATGTGTTGATTATCTTGTTTATTTTTCTGTGTTATTCTTTATCTGTTTTCGTTTATTTTTTGCTTTGTTTTAGCTTTGTTCTTGTTTTTGGAAAAGGTGGTGGTGGTGATGGTGAGGGGGTTATGTTAGATATTGTCATTTACGGGCGCATCAGAGAAGTTTATGAAGGTTTTTTTAATGCGAGAGCATGACACTCACCCTATACTAGGTATTGGATTTAACGTTCTCAATGCGACCTAAAGTGGCTGCATATATATACATCCCGCACAGCAAAACAGACGCCCAACTTAAGCTAGGCAAACTTTTCACTAATGGTAGGGAGAAGTCATAGGATGACTAAACTTCTATACACCAATTAACTCTTGGGGTTTTAATTTAGAAGTTTGCCTTTAGGGGTAATTGTTTTTGACCTTATGTTAAAATTTACTGTCGAAAATATTCAGTTTACTTATATATTTTACAGGTCAATTGGTGTTGTACTTCATTACCTTATGCACTTCAAACTCAGTCCTACACATGTTGATTGTTTACTATTAATGAACATATTGCTGACGCATTTTTCCAACGATCGATAAGCAACAGTACATATAAGAGCGGTAACAGTGCTTCAATTAATTCATTTATATCGAGGTCAAAAGATTAATTTAGCTGGGATGTACGTATTTATTAATTTCTATAGATATGGTTTTAGTTTCATTGTTCGTATCAAATTTTACTACAACAGCTTTAATTTGATTTGAATATCTTATCACAATTTGAAAACTTTATATGGCGTTTGTCCTAAAAGTATTATTGAAGATTCGATTAATTATCACACAAGACAAACTTAGAAGACACGTCAACATCATAGGTGGGAAGGACAACATGATGGCAAAAGAAAAAAAGACAAAAGAGTTCCAAAAACATGCAAACATTGAGAAATAAGCACCTCCCGAAACTATACATGAACGACAGTGTTCCTGAAGGGTATGCGTAGATATCCAAGTAGCTACCATGTTATACGTTATACCCCAAATAATCGTAATACGTAGCATACATATCTCTGATGTCATATTAAACTCCTGTAACTGTGTTTGTTATCAGGATATCCTGATTTCAGAGTATCAGAATACAAGGAAATATTTACTTAGGCGTTTGCAAGAATCTTTGGAAAATACATGTCAACGAATACTTAGCTGATCCGTAGTTATTTAAAAAGTTTAACAAAAGTACTGAACTCCACAGAAAATTCAAAATAAGGAAATCCATATAACCTCGTCCTTTCATAATTCGTGATATTCAACTTTCCTTTTTACATGCATGTGATTTCTTGTGTTATGTCTTTTTTATTTTGAAAGAGCGAGGGGGTTATCAAAGCGTTTTCTCTCCATTTATAATTTTCCATTCAGTAAAAAAAAAAAAAAAAAATACAGAAGATACCATGAGGTTAGCAAAGTTGTGCAATCTACAACATCTGTTACTCTATTTCTTTTCTCTATTGTTTTGTCTCTCGTCGAGCGCGCTAATTTGTACACAGTAATAGTGTAAACTTAATTTTTGTCAGAAAAAAATCATGACCGAACTATAACGTCATTTTAATTCAATAATATTTTCAGGAATTATCGGACTCTTAATATAATAACCTCTTGGGAAAACTTTCTTTACTCCTTTTAGACACTACGCCAAAAAAATTTCATATATGACTGGATTTGTTTGTCATAATGTGTAATTCGCCATACTGAAGAGTGATCTTGAGATGACAATTTTCGTAGGAGATATAAATTTTGACGATTTTTTGGACTATTGACCAAAATAACACAATGTGAACGCAACCCATCTGAGACAGCTTTACAGTGGTTCTCTCCGGCACTCCAGCTTTCTCTATCAATAAAAAACTGGCTGCTACGATATAGTCAAGAGTGCAGGAATTGGCGTTGAACACCAACAATCTATCAAATAATTTAGCCTCCCCTATTCTTAATGAAATTACAACAGAAACATTGAAACATCTTAATTTTCCTAAACGTATAGAAGAACGTGTTTCTCAATTCAAGTTGATTCCTGATTGTTATACACTAAGAAAGATAAATGACGCAACTGGAGTAAGATAAGGCTAATATAAGACAAAGTATGATAAGTCGAAGTTCACAATTCACGATCCAACCTTAAGGTTAGTTACACTTATGCATGTTCGTGTTTGTTTTTCTGTTAAATTTAAACTATACAACGATGGGTTGAATTGTCATCTACATAAGTTTTTTTTTTAGATTTTGTAAGCTATCTTGACATAAGCCAAGTCAATACTAATGTACACATGTAATTCAGCTTATGCAAATACATAAATTACAAGTTTTGGTGAAATAAGATATGTATTTTATTCAAATCCAAAAAATAGAAGAAGGCAAAATAAAGTACGAAGTTGAAGCGCATTGACGACCACGAATTATGAAAGGTGTTTCCAAATGCAACACAGGTAATCTTTTCCTGGGATTGAAAATCCTTATTATTTCGAAAAATTCATAGTTTTGTAAACAGTTGATTTATAATTATGACAAAAATCAGAAACCTCCACCAGCAGTAGCATCGACCCAGTGGTTGTAAATAAACTTACCATAGATACCTCGATCAAAATTTTGAAAATAAGAATAAAGTGCCCACAAATTAATCTTATCTTTTTTTTTTAACCTGGATGAACATACTTAAAATATTGTTCTTATAAAAATATAAGGACAATATCCAATTGATTCATTATTTACTTATAGCGCAGCATTATTGCATATAATTTATTATCAACTCATTCAGTCTTTAAACGCAAGTAGTATGTAACCTTTCATTTCCTTTATTCCCAATAGTAGAAATATGAATAAATCAATTACAGTAATAAATATGAGAGCAACCTGAAAAGTAAAAATGGAAATATATAGAAGACGGATTATATGTTCTTCTTTTTGGAAGGTATTTGTAAGAGAGGATACACACAAATGTAGTCCTGTGTTATGTTTAACTTTTTTTTACAGTTAAAATGGCCGGACGACACGCCTTCATTACTGGTAAGTTTTGTAAATTCTACACGTCATCATCTTTTTCGATAAAATCAAAATCCACATGAAATATTTGATGCTGCTGATGTTCATGATGAAAGTAATACAGTAAACGTTATTCAAAGATTTATTAGGGGAATTTTGTAGAGGTTGATTAAAATATTGCAAAGTTGATACTTTCTTTTATTAAGAAACAAGGATTCCAAATCCCTCAGGCAAATTTGACCTTAGATGGATTTAAGCTATTGTGTTTAGGCTTCCCTTAAGTCATGTAGCTTCACACGTATTCGAGATCTTAAAACAATATGGCTTTTAAATTTTTGTGTTAATTGTTCATGATGACAAATTTATAAAGTGTTATTTTTATCATCATCAAGAGTTCAGATATTTAGTTTTTTTTTGGAATATATTATCTATTGGATACTTCTCTAAAATGCGTGATATCTGCGATGAAAGAAAGACTAAATTATATATTTGAATTCCCATTTTAACAGAAAGGAATAATTTCAGATACAAAAGATATGTTCAGTAACAGTGCGGGAAGATAGGCATTAACATATATCGTTGTAGAACTTATGATACTCTTAATCTTAGAATTTTATCACTTATTGTCCGGGAATGACAATCGAAAAAGCCTTGCATCTACATGATCTACGACTAGGGTTTACTCACCGCTGTGCTTAATCGTGGCCTATAAGTAAATTGAAATTAAATTAATAATGTTTTTTATATTGTTTTACATTTATTTCTATTTATTCAATTTATTCTACAAATAAGAGAGTCAAAACTTGCCTCTTTCTAATAGGCTTAAGGTAAATCAATCATTAAAGTTGTTGAGGTACAATTATTTAAAGTGACATTAAACTAAAAACAGAACAGCAAATATATTTCATCACGACATGCGGTTATAATTAATATTATTATTATTACATTATTATCATTGTTGTCGTCCAATGGATGAATTATAAACTATAAAACATTTTACATGTTATACTAAGTAAATACAAGAAATACGTATAGAAATAACTTATAAACTCCGAAAGCCCACTATATCATTTACAAACTATCAGCAAATAAAAAAGCATGTATTTCTCTTAATTGATCATTATCTAATATTGTTTTAACTGTTAATTCATGTAATGATTTCAATGATAACATATATTTAAGTTCTTGAATGTGCCTTAACTTCATTCATGATGATATTCGTATGCTTAAACATAACACTCAATATTCTGCTTTACAGGATTAGTAGCCATTGTTGGTTTATTTTATCTATCAAGTGTTAATGGTAAGTTACCTTTAATGTTATTCTTTCTGTACAGTACATCACAATTGTCAAATAAAAATGATCTTATATATGTATGAGTGTACAATTTTGTTTCAAATAGAAGAATTCGAAAAGAGATTCGGAAATGACGATACAAACATTTCATTTTAGGAAAAGACAAATCCCGCTTATTAAAAAATCTACGCTGATTAAAGCACAAAAAGTTTTCTGAAACTGACATTTTTAAGATGCTTGAATTTTTAAAATATTTGTTTTGTGTTTTAAAGACAATTGCCTTCATTGAGGAATCTCTTCTTGTCATCGTGTTCTCAAGAAAATAAAAAGAACCTTGCAGTTCTCCTTGACTTTACGTTCCGCGATACATATGATGTCATTCAATTGAACAGTTCAAAGTTGGATGACTATTTTGATTGCATTCATTCCATTGACCTGGACATAAAAGATACACCAGATAAAATTTAGTTCGCTTGATACCCTTTTTAACATCAAGGAATCGACAAGGAGGCTACACAAGCTACTATTTTAAGAAACGACAAGACAAATACAAGTATGCATCTTTATATTAGAAATGACTTATTATGAAATTCTGATTGTATTTTTATTTTTTAGGATTAACATGTTTGTTTTGCGATAGAGCTGTTAATATCACAGACTGTCTTACACAAAAAGCTTCATGCAAAGACAACGATGAGGTAATGCATTTGTTTTAGCATTTTCAGACAATACAAAACGGATAATTCACTTGTACAATAATGTCAACAACGAGACTGAGAAGACTCTTGTTTTTGTTGAAAAAAACCAGTTTATTAACATATTTAACGAAATATGATTGAAAAGAACTGCAATTAAGATTCTATTCAAATTTTATTGGTTATTTGGTTTGACCAAGCTGAATTGTACAAAAAGTTATAAATATTTATTTGAAGTATTTCAATATATAATGGCATTGAAGACCAAGTTCGTTAATCTTATATACATTATGTAGTCACGGTTCATAAGTAACCACACGAATTAATAATAATGCATTTTTTCAGCAATGTTTCCTCGACAAGACTATTCTTCCTGATCTAACCTCTGTATTTTCAGCTGGATGCAGATCTCAACAAGTAGGTAATATTCTCGAAATGACTTTGAAACAGTTGAGATTTTATTTTCATTGTATAGCATATCATGTCATGTATCTAAGTAGGAATAGAAGAAACTTTATATGATATAAACTTATGAAAACATGCATGTTTTCAAGTTTAACTATTTATTTTACAAACATTGAAGAGCGAATAAAACTCAAAATGAGAAAGACAACACCAGTAGATGAATTTCAGTCTTAAACGGTCATTTTGAGCTTAACATCCTTTGAAAAGTCAGGACAATATGAAATTAAGTTCAGTTGTTTTTCAGACAATTCAGGATGTTGTTAATGTTTACAGGTAAATAAGAAACTACTGAACAGTCTGAACATAGACTGAACTGATCTTAATTGACTGTAACCGGATTCTCTGAACAGTACTGTATTGAAGTCGGAAAATTGGCGGAAAAACTGGAAATGACGTAATGATTTATTGCTCTGTCTTTTGAGAGCTGTTTAAGATCAAAATGATTGTTTCAGATCAAAATTGTGTTACTAGTGTAAGGTTTGCCGATTGGTGCTATATATTCATCTTTATTGGCCAAATTCCGTTGACACATCCAGTGGAACCTGTGAAAATCAGGAATATGATACAAATGGTTATATAGTCAGATTATGAGTAATTAATTGCATAAAACGAGGAACATTTTCGGATTTGATATATGAAAAGGATACACAAAAATGTTTAATGTTTTATTATTTAAATCTAATTTATTTTAATGGATTATTTAAAGTTTAAAAATGTCTAATGTAGAAGTGTTTCTGTCCTTGATGTACTGTTACTTGACCTACTGAAAGATCAAATATTTTGGTAATTTCGAAACGCTTGCCTTAAATCGCATGTTTCAAGTGTAATTAGTTGGCACGTGCATACACTCATACATGAAAAAGTCCAAATTGGTTTACCTCTTGAATATATGTTTCTCTGGTAAATATATAGAAAGCAAACACTTCAGTTATATGGAAACGATTAACATTTTGCCATCGTAAAACAAATGATTAATGAAACTGATAATATTAAGCTTAAAGAAATGCATATTCAGTTTGATTTTGTTTTGTACAGGTGTGCAAATTGATAGCCAGTGCAGTTGGAAAAAGAGATTCTGTGGCTTGTGCACAGTGTTGTTCTGGTCCAACTAACAACGCAACATTAATTCCATGCAACGGCTACCTATGCAATCAGAGTAAATATATTCTTAAAAAATACTAGCAAAATTAAAAACCCAACAATTTACAAATCCACCAAAACCCTAATGTCATCGACGATAACAATTATAGGTCAGCGTCCAACCTTCACAAACAAACAAAACCATACCGTTACAAAGTAATCGGCAAGATAACATGAAAAATGACTCAGACGAGAAAACCAGCGCCCTATTTTATGCTTGAACAATTACAACAAATAAAGGAGGCAAACACCAACGACATCAGCTGAATTACAGACTCCTGACTTTTTACAGACACATAACGAATGTTGCGTGTTAAACCTGGTTGACAGGGCTCATCTTCACTCACTCATGTTAGATGTGGAATAAAGGAGATGATTGCAATAAGATATCATATATTAACCCTAAGTTTTATTAATGGAAAATCAAAATTCCTTTAAAATGGTGTAAGTATGAAAAACAAAACAAATAAACAGTGCGTTTCATAGATAAATCTGTATGTTACTTCCGAAAAAAACAATTGGGCGTTGTAGTTTCAGAACAAATAATCAAATTGATTTTTTACCTGCATTTTAAAAAAATAACATAAATACTAATATCCTCATAAAGACATTTTCACATTGAGAAACGCCACAGACATTCATTGTTTTATCAAAATTCTTGGACATTTATTGTAAAAATGTGTATCTGGTGCTGTTAGATAAGTACCGTTCATCTTATAAAGACACAAAGTCACTTAAAGGCAAAACATCACATACAGATACATAATCACATAGAGATAAGTAGTCACATAAAGACAAATAGTCACAAACAGAAAAATGTTTATAAAAGAACAAATAGCAACACAAAGACACATTTTTACATGAAGACAACTAGTTTCATAAATATTATAATCCACACGAGGACAAATAGACATATGAAAACAAATAGTCACTTACAGACAAGAAGTCACATAAAGACAAATATTCACATGGAAACAAAAAATCACATAAAGATGTATAGTCACATGAAGACAAACGGTCATATAAAGACAAATAGTTACATAAAGACAAATAGTCACATAAAGACTCATAGCAACATTATGACAAATATTTACATGGAGACAATAGTCACATACCGATAAAAAGTCACAAAAAGCCAAATAGTCACATAAAAACAATTGACAGAGAGGGACAATTATTCAGCATACATCCATCATATGACATTTTTCAAAAAAGTGATAAAGTGAACGCGTATGTGTTTTATTTGTAATGCGTTTGCATATACAAAAGGAATTTAGGCATCGAAAATTAATAAACATTGTATATTTGTATGTAAAAAAGTATGCAAAAAAAAATACAAGGTAAATTCAAAAGGAGAAAGCCCCCTTCCAAAAACAAACCAAAATTAAAAGCTCGATTATATCAACCAACGAAACAAATAGTAAACAACTCTCATATTTCAGTCTTGGCACAGGCATTTTCTGCATAAAAGTGTTGGTTAAACCTTGATTTATAGCTTGGATAACTTCCTAAATCGTTTTACCTGTATCTAAAAGCCAATTTATATTTTGTTTAATTCGTAGCTAATGTCCTTTTAAAGCGCTGGCATATTATTATTTTTAACCGAGCTCACTAAAACAACGACATATTGCTTTTAAAAATCTTTTTTCAACATTTATAGATCCTCAACCAGCAGGATCAACTTGTGGAGTGTGTGACAGGGTCAGTGATCCAAAAGATTGCTCTGTTGATCAACAATGCCAACCAAATGAGGTAGGCAATATTTATGGATTCAAGTGTATACGTTCCTTTTTCAAAGAAACTATTAGACCATTCCTACTATATTTCTTCAAATGAGTTCTATTCATTGTTTTACCCTTTAGAATTACACAATAACAAAATAACAATAATAATGTATCAATTTCAGTCAATTCAATATTTCCAAAATCGGTAATCACAACTTGAAAATTGGAATAAGATTTTAAAAACTAACAGTTTCTAATATAGAATCGTCAAAAAAGATCGGGATATTATATCAATTTTAAAACATAAAATCATTTTATAAAAAAGACACACAGCAATATTTCTAAAGGAAACAGAATATCAGTATATTAATATTATTTCCAATCTTATGTTTATATATAATTAACTTGTTATTTTCTAATAAATATATTGTATAGGTTTGCAAGGTCAATACCCTCTATACTGGTGGTGGTTTAAAGTATGAACTTGGATGTGAGCTCAAAACTGTAAGTTTTTGTATTAAGGTATAAGACAAGCTGAGATTTGTTTTAAAACGTCAGAGAATGTATCACTTCGTATCAATTATCTTGGATATAGGCCATCATAAGTTTTTAGATATATGCGTTTTAGATAAATAAATAAATATGTATTCAGATTTTTAGGAAAACAGACATCCATCAAATTGAATAGGTATGGGGTCGTCTCAAATGACGATATTGCACAAAACAGGAAACAATTAAATAAGTCTATAGATTTGTGCAACGATATTGATAAAAAAATATTTATGTTTGAGTGAGATGAAGTGATTTCGTAATAACAAATATTAAGGCACAACAAATTAATTGTCTTCGTCAGCGTCAATCTTTTTGAAGAAACATTTTGAAAAAGGATAAATATTGGGAAGAGGATAATTTTCAAACGTTTGGTCTCGAGTGTACATGTGGTGACTGATTGGAGTATTATTACAGAAACACAGGTCACGCACTAGAAATCATACATGTATTTTACTGTTTTTCAAGTAAAGACCAAATTTACGTATTATATCATTTTACAGTTGGTTTTATAGATTTCAGCCTCGGGTATTTTATTTTAATATACTTTTAATAATGTAAGCCTTAAATTTCTAATATTGAATATTAATTGTCGAATTTTTATACGTAAAATATTTAGGTTTGAGATTAAAATTAAATATGTTGTATCTTAATTTGAAATTATGATACTAAGTTCGAAATTCAATATTCGAAGGCCTTCAGCAACCAATTAAAAGACAATAAAACTTCCCGTAGTAAATTTTATTTTTGTTAACTATTCGATAAAATAAACTTGATTCAAATTAAATATACATCGTTTCGTGCTGACATACATATACTTGATAATATCATTATATATATTGATATGCATGAAATTTTGTATTTTACAATTATATGTTATCCTCCAAATCAATATAAGAATGTTGTATGATTTTGCAGATATGTGATAAAACTTTGAAAGAATATAAAAGCACTCATACTACAGTGTCTACAGGTAGAAGAGCCGACCACGGAGATATTACGCTATGCTCTGCCTGCTGTGATACTTTAAGTTGTAACAAAGACCAATGCTCGGAAGTAATTAAAAGTAAGATGGTAATTTCTTAAAGGGCAAACAGTTTTAAACTATAAAAGAAAATAACTGAACAAAATGGAATAACTCAGGAGGAGCAAACATTTTAAAGGGGTAGGGTTGTCAAGACCCAAATTTAGAGCAAATTTTAAACTAATAATAAATGATCTTAAATCAGCCTTTACATGCCTATGGTGATACGTATTCAAGAAAAAAAAACATATTTCAAATTTAATGAGTTACATTTTGTACCATAACAACAAACCATGATGAAATTAGTATATTTTGTACAATTTTTTTTCTTCTTTTGTTGTAACTTTTAAGCATATCTTGGATTAAAAATGTATAAATGCACCAAAATCACAACTTTAATGTTTGGATATACCATCTGTTAATAGATTGCATTCTTCCTTTAAACATTATCTATACAATTTATATTTTAACAGATGATGATGTCGTTTTTAACTTCTTTACATACAAAATGTAAACAGATATAATTACAGAACATAATGCTTCAATATTCCCCCAAAATGTAATTGTTTAAAGCATTGATCAAGATTAAAGCAAAATTAAAAAATCCTATAATAAATGAGGTCCTCGAATGTGCAATGCTGCACTCAGAAATTACGGTTACTCTCGAAATGCATATTTTGAATCCATTTTGACTTTTTTGCATATAAAATTAATTTGTATTTGATTCTAACATATATTCATTACGTAAATTGTAGAAAACAAATGTATTCAATTACGTTTTTATTGTATAACTATTATTATGTACGCCTTTATGAAAGCCAAAAGTATAATACATTGTTTGAGAAGTTAAATTCAAAAAGGCCTTTATAGAAAAGCCATTACCGTCCAAGTCTAATTTTCCTCCAGGGAGTTAAACTTTAGTATATGCACAATTATATAATATTTTAAATTTTGAAATATACATACAAAACTATCATTCAAAATATTTAAACAACGAAGCACTGGCTACTTGGCAAATGGTTCTTCTAAGTTTGATAAACCTAATCCAGTTTTAGCACAAACACGTATGAAATGAAAACCGTGGTGCAGCATGTGTTTATGAAAAACATATTTTATGTAAAGTTATTTGAAAGTAACATATTTTTTAATCATATTTAATGTGTTTTCTTTTATAGCTCAGATATGTCACAACTCAACTATTTGTGGTTAAGAAACACAAGGAAGGATTGATTACACAAACATACTGCTTCAGTTCAACATTGTATAATAAAATGGTTTTGAATTTCATTCTTACATTTTCTAGGCATCTAAAACATATGGTACTACAATTTCAAAATAAGAAATGATATGAAAGCAATAAAATACCATAATAAGGACGGATAACACTATAATTGTTAAATGAAGAATCAAATTTAAGGCAAACTATTATGATTGACAAAACGTTAAACAGAAGAATGACCTTTGCGTACCCCAAAAAACAAGCCTCCATCTGAAAGATCTTACGTGATTTAAGAGGCTGCCACCAAATGTGTTGCATATGACAAGTAAAAAGAAATCAATGACAAAACTTGAACACAGAATGAAAAACGGGAACATGTCTGTGATCATTTGTGTAAAAGATATAGTGTAACGGTGAATCAAGTCATGCTAACTTATAAAGAACCAACTTTGACAATATGTCATTCATCTTAAAATATTCTTTGTTTTAACTTCTGATTG